CTGGCACTTGAAAGCTCCACAAAGAATTCGATTTTTTCTATGGTTGGCTAGCCATGGAAAATTGATGACAAATTCGGCTCGCTTTCTTCGACACTTAACAGGTGACCCAAGATGCTTTGTATGCGGATATGTTGAGGAGAGTGTGAGCCATCTACTGAGAGAATGTCCAACTGCTACGATGATTTGGGCAAAATTTGGTATTAAGTTTGATGCAAAGTGGCAAACGGCTACAACTTGGCAATGGATTGAGGACAATTTGTCTACTAAGGCTGTTGGCGGAAATGATGATTGGACTTTGGTCTTTGCTACTACATGCTGGTGGTTGTGGCGTTGGAGGAATGAACGCACCTTTGGTAGAGAGGTTTCCATTCCAATGGACCAAAATACTTTTATCATGGCACGGGTAGGTGAAATCAGGAGAGCTTTTGACAATAATATCATGGGAAATGTGCTGGGAAAGAGGAAGTATAGTGAAGTACTGGTAAGATGGGAGTTTCCAAGAGAAGGTTGGGTGCGTCTCAACACAGATGGGGCTTCAAAAGGGAACCCGGGACCAGCTGGGGCAGGGGGTGTTATCCGTGGACATCGAGGAGAATTACATGAGATGTTTGCCATGAATTGTGGTATTTGCTCGTGCACCAAAGCTGAACTCTTGGGTGTTATGCGTGGTCTAGCAATTGCTTGGAACAGAGGTCATAGATTGGTGCAAGTTACAGTTGATTCGGAGACCATAGTCCGAATGTTGGTGGATCCTACTTCTCCCAACTCTCCTTTTATTCATTTGATTAGTAAGTGCAAAGCTCTAATCACGCGGAGTGGTTGGAAAGTGACCATTGGACATTGCTATAGGGAGGCTAATCAAGTGGCGGATAGATTAGCTAACATTGGTGTGGTGTCTAACGAGAAACTAATTCTCTTTGAGGCGGTCCAGGAGGACCTTCGTGCCGTTTTATTGGAGGATTTGGGAGGGGTCACGAGACCAAGGATGGTGCCTTCTAGGGGCAGCTAGCCTACTTGGTGTCGAAGTGTTTTAGTAGTAGTTGTTTTCTTTTGTTTTGCTTTTTGTGTTTTGTTCTTTTTTTTTTTCTGTTGTTTTTCTTTCTAGTTTGTTCTAGCTTTCATTTGTAAGCCCCTCGTTTGCACCAAAAAAAAAAATCAGCAATAGTCAAAGGTAAATGTAAAAGGATCTCCACATATTGGCTACTGTGTACTGTATTATATAAATTAGAATGAAAAAGTGGACATACAGATATATGTACGTAGTATATTAGATTGTTAAACAAATAAACACAAGTATTGAAGAACAAAAAAAAACAAAAATACATGAGTTCACTTAAATTATTTATTTGTAATGTGATTCACAAATCAGAATCAAAATTTAAAGATCGTTATTTTAAAATCTAACAATTGTATCAAGTTTCCAACATATCGATATTGATGTATCAACTATACAAGATCAATTTGTCACCACACACAACATTTACAATGTCATACACACACAGAAAACAAATCTTTAATTTCACTAAAATTGTAGCACTTCTACTTTTACGTTTGCTAATGTATTATTAAAGTTACAAAATTTATGATATTATGAAAGCATAAATTAATGCAAATTTAACAAGATCTTACATAATTATATATATTCAATCATTAAAGTAATCAAATAGAAGTATGTAAAATTGTGAATAATATATAATTCAAAGAAGGCGGTAAGACATAACAATAATTTGGAGTAGCCATTGTAAGTTTATAATAATTTATGTACTACGAGTAGTAGATAGAATGTCTTCGTTACATTTATTTTTAATCGGGCAGGGCAGGATAAATATACAATGAGTGACAAACTGACAATGCTTTAAAACCCACCCTTTACTCTTGATTAGACCTGGTTATTGGGCGGGTCGGGTCAAGGTCGGTGTAGGTTGGGTCAAAGAGGATCACATTTTATAGGAGATATTGGGTTGGGCCAATACGAGTCGTGGGTCGATAATGGGCGGGCCTATGAAATATCAATTAAAAAAATATTAGACAAAGCCATTATTAAGTATATATGAATATAAACTTATCTATGTAAATTTATTTCTACATTATCTATTTTCTTTATCAATTAAATTGGGAAAACATTTTAGCCCTATATTGACCATGTCCAATAAGGGCCCAGTCCATTAAATACCCTGTCCATTAAAAGCCCTTTAAGCTTGGCATTGACCCTATTATCATTATTGGGCTACCCTACCCAATAACCACCTCTACTCTTGATCCACGTCAAATACAAAGTATAACTATTAATATCCTCTGGTCCATTATTAGATGTATTATCCATCAAAGTTAGAATTAACCTACCTATTAAAGCTTACTATACCTGCCCTATGATCCACCTTATGTCCTTTTACCCACATATCCAATACGGAGTACTAAATAAGTGTGCTGGACTTTCTCTCTCTAGAATTCTAGTCATCATAGAACACCTCCTTCACAAGAGTGAACGGAGCTCTGGGAGCTGCTTTCTAGCAGAGGGTTTGTCCTGCATTTTTATGCATTCGTGCAATTGTTTCGTTCTTTTCAGGTTTCTTTCTTCTAATTAATTCCGTTCCGCTTGGTCCAGTGTCTTAGTTAGTAAGGATGGAGTCATCTCTAGACATAGAGATGGAGTCCGTTCAAGAGATAGATTTGGTTGATAGGTCAGTCACTAGGCTAGATTTAGGCATAGAGAATGTTAATAAGGTTCAACAAGTTGAAGATATGGTCATCAGTAGTGAAAGGCAGCAGGAGGACTCTCAATCAATGACAATGCAAGAGCAAGCTGCTCATAACATTGTTACTCCTATAGCTGAAACAGAGAATGGGCAACAGCAGGCTATTAGACCTGCTAAGAAACTAATGGGGTCTTTCAGGGAGGCTGTCACCAATTCATCTCAGTAGTTCAGTGAGGCAAGGAAGATCATGATAGCTTCGCAGGAGTGGGATGATGATGATGAAGATGTTACTAACCACAAGCATGCTGTGAAGTTTAAAAAAGACAAGTTAAAGGAGCTTAGGCAACCATGGAATCTGACATTGATTGGGAAGTGCCTTGGATTAAAAATCAGAGCATAATTCATGAATCAAAGAGTTAAGAGAATGTGGAATCCGAAAGGTGGTCTTGAAGTCATAGAAATGGAGAATGGTGTGTATTTATTCAGATTCTCCTTACAGGATGATATGGAGAAAGCGCTATTTGGAGGGCCTTGGTTCATATTCGATCACTACCTAATGATGGCTAAATGGAAGCCAAATTTTAGACCATCATCGGAGAGTTTCAAGAAGATCTCAGTTTGGATAAGATTTCCCGAACTACCAGTTGAATACTATGACAAGGAAGCTCTATATAGTATTGCTGAGGTAGTAGGCAAGCCAATACGAGTTGATTATTCGACGGATAAGATAAGTAAGTGCAGATATGCGCGGGTTTGTGTCAAAATTGATTTAGTTCAGCCATTAATTACTAAAGTTTGGGTGTATAAAGCTTGGCAAAGAATCGAATTCGAAAAAAATTCATACTCTTTGCTTTGAATGTGGAAGGATTGGCCACAATAAAGATCAATGTCAGACAAACAAGGGGAAGCAAACTCTTCATAGCACGCTGATGTTGGAGCAAAGCCAAGGGAAGAACAATCAAAGGGAGATAAATGCAGAACACAATGAAGCAGCACCTGCAATTAATGTTTTGCAGACAGAAACAGGGGAAGGCATAGGGTTGCAGCTAGAAGAGAAAGAAAGCTACGGACCCTGGGTATTGGCGACACCAAGGAAAAAGTATTTTAAAAAAGATGATTAAAATAAAAAAGAGGGAAAGCAACAACAGGAGCAGGAAAAAACAATGGAAAGAATAAAGGAAAGTATTCTAGGGAACCTAATAGCCGCCAAACTCGAATTAAAAATACACAATGGGAAGTGCTATTGGAAGAAGAAAGTGAAGAGGCAGCATTTAAAAATAAAGAAAATACAAAAGTTTCTCGGGACTGTGCTATTGAGAGGAGGGGATACAAGCAAGGATCTTACCCAGAAAAAACATCGACGTCGGGAACCGCCAACATTAATGGTGTTATACTTCCCACAGCCAATCACTATGAAAACACCAATGGTGCCTTCTCGTCAAAATCCAATCAACCATTGTCATCCTTTATATCTCCGATTAACCCTTCATCTTCTCATCCCCTCACTCCATCTGAGCAATTGCACCAAACCAAACCTTTCAATTGCCAAACCAAAATTAGTCATGGAGAATCAGGAGAATCGAGAGCAAGAAATGTTGATGAACAACTTGTATGTTCGACCAATCCTACCCAGATTTCAATACAACCAGATGAACATGCCAATGAACCCCCAATTATGTCGGCTATCACCATATCATCCATCTCAATTCCAAATCCTATCTCCCCCAATCAAACCAACGATCTTTCCACCCCCTCAAATTTAATCCAGAGCCCTAACCCCATCTTGTCTATCCCAAGCCTCACTTCAATTTCCAGCACATCTTCTTTTCCCAACTTTCCCAACACCCTACCTTTGGCCGATAATGAGATTGAACCCGGTCCCAATCGAGAAGTTGAACCAAATATATGCGGGGCTGCAAGTGATGATGAAACAACTTATTCACCCCTCTCTTCCAGGGTACGAAAATCTTTTCACCCCTATATAAGCACCAGCAAAAAAACCCTCCAATTTACCCCCTACAACTAGTAAGTCAATGTTTAAATCTCATGGAGCACAAAAATCTTTTGGTAGTGCTAGAAACAAAGAAGGAGGTGGTGGGGATCGAAGTGAACCTCACATATATGTCGACGGGCAATTTGATGCAGGATATAAGGATGGTAGCGCAACCGCTATCGATGGAAGACATATGGGCGATGGGGAAGCTCAACCAATGGAGGGATTGAGGAATGCTATTCCCAACATCGAATAATCACCTCGAACAATCTCGAGGGATTTTTCCTGAATTCCCTTTTCCATCAGTTAGTATGAAGACTATTTTATGGAATGTGCGTGGTGCCTCTAGCAAAGAATTTTTACCTCATGCAAAGGAGGTAGTGAGACTTCACAAACCCGACATTTTGTTTCTATTAGAAACAAAATCTACTGATGAAATTGCTCGAGCAGTTTGTAAAAGACTGGGCTTTGAGGAATTTCGTACTCTTCCGGCTAATGGACTTAAGGGTGGAATGTGGTTATTTTGGCGCAAGCCGGCCATTCTTATGGACTTTGTGACTGAATCACCCCACGTGATTCACTCACTTTTCAAGGTATCACCAAATGATCCGGAGGTGCTCATTACGGGTGTTCATGCACCCTCTGCATCGAGGGATAAAAATGAACTATGGAACATGCTTGGGGAAAATTCACCTCCTGCCTCTACTCCTTGGTTATTATTGGGAGATATGAATGAGGTTGTTTCACAATCAGAGAAGATGGGTGGGAGACCAATTACAAACTCCCAGGGTAAGGCCTTCACAAAATGGACTGACAAAGAGGGCCTTATCGATCTCAAGTATCACGGACCAGCCTTCACTTGGGACAATGGTAGAGAAGGAACGGAATTAATTAGGGAAAGGCTTGATAGGGCACTTGCAAATGCTGAGTGGATAAAAGTGCACCCGCAAACACAGGTATACCATCTTGCTAAAACCTATTCTGACCATTGTCCAATTCTTGTCGATACTAATGTTGTTAATCGTATCTTTAATTATCCTTTCCGATGTAAGGAGGCTTGGCTTGAAAATCCTAATTTTGATGATTTTTTTGCTAATGCTTGGAATAAAGGGAATGATTTTAACGAGTCCAAAAATTGTTTTACTAAGGAAGTTAAACTTTGGAATAAATGGGTGTTTAACGAAGCTATTCAAAATAAAAATAGGCTAATTGCTCATATTCATGGTATTCAAAAAATACTTAATACTAAGTATTCTTCCTTCTTGATTAATCTTGAAAAAACATTCTTTTAAAAAATTTGAATGATGTGTTAAAAATTGAGAGAATCTCTTGGGCTCAAAGGGCGGGGGTAGATTGGAGAAAGTTTGGAGATTGGAACACTAAGTACTTTCATATTTTGGTTAAGATTAAAAATTGTAGAAACAAAATTTTGTGCCTTAAGGATAAAAATGGTATTTGGGTGCATGACCAAAATCTGCTCAAATTAATGTGTTAATTATTTTAAAACCATTTTTGAGTCGAAACTTGATTGTCATTCTAGGAGTATGTCTTTCATTCCTAATGCAGTAGTAAGGGAGGAGGATTTGGTGTTCCTAACTAGCAAGGTGGATAATATGGAAGTGGAAAATGCCTTAAATATGATGGCTCCTATGAAAAGTGCGGGTCCGGATGGAATTCAACCTAAATTTTTTTCAAAAATATTGGGAGGTAGTTGGTAATTCTATCGTTACTCTTGTGGATAAAATTTTTAGGGAGGGGGAAATTCCGAGTTATATTAATGATTCGTACATTTGTCTAATCCCTAAATTTGAACAACCGGAAAGAATGAATGATTTTAGACCAATAGGTTTATGTAATTCGATTTATAAACTTATTACTAAAATCATTGCTAATAGAATTAAGCCTATGTTGAATTATCTAATTAATCCGGTTCAATCAAGTTTCATAGAAGGAAGAACTATCGATAAAAATGTGTTAGTCATTAAGGAAGTTGCTCACTTTTTAAAAAAAGCTAGCAAAAAACACCTTATGGCTTTCAAAATCGATATATCTAAAGCCTATGATAGCTTGGAGTGGGGGTTTATTCGAGAAACTTTAAGTGGCCTTAATTTCCCAAATACCCTTGTTAATTTGATCATGAGTTGTATTACTACTCCTTCCCATTTCTATTCTTTGGAATGGAGAGGTGACTAATAGTTTTACTCCCTCTAGAGGAATTAGACAAGGGATCCCCTTTCGTCCTGTATTTTTGTTCTTTGCCTCGAAAGACTTTCTTTAATGGTTGAGGAGGAGGTTCAAAAGGGCAATTGGATCCCTATTAAAATTGACCACGAAGTTAACATTTCTCATCTCTTCTATGCCGATGATGTTTTTCTTTTTTGTAGGGCTTCCATTGAAAATGTTAGTATTATTAAGGAGGTTCTTCTTAACTTTGGAAATAGATCGGGTCTTTTCATTAGCCCTTCTAAATCCAAAGTCATTTTCCCTCCAAAGATGTGTCTTTCCCTTAAAAGGGCTATCCTTGATGCCTCCAACATCAAGGGTGCTCCTTCCTTCGGGAAATATTTAGGAGTTAACATTAGCCCTAACAGATTGAGAAAGGCGGATTATGTAGATCTCCTTAATAAAACAAAAAATAGGATTAAAGGTTGGCAAGCTAAACTCCTTAATATGGTCGGAAGAAGCACCTTGATAAAGTCCGTTCTCAACTCTTATCCTCTCTATGTGATGCAAACTACCTTGCTTCCTACTTATATCATTGAAGAGTTGGAAAAAAGTTGTAGACGTTTTTTATGGAATAAGGTGGATAAAACTCATTATCTTCCTAGGACTAGTTGGGAAAAGGTTTGTCTTCCTTCGGGGTTAGGGGGTTTAGGAATGCGTAATTTAAAAAATTGGAATCTCGTTTTTATGGCTAAATTAGGGTGGAGAATTTTGCATGAACCGGACAAACTTTGGGTAAAAATTCTTCGTGCTAGGTATTTTAAGAGATCCTCTTTCCTTAATAGTATTCCTAGCACTGGGGATTCCCCTCTTTGGAGAGATATTCTCAAAGGTAAGGAATTACTTATGAAAGGGATCTCTTATAGAATTGGGAATGGGAAAGATATTTGTCTTTGGTATCATCATTGGGTGGGTGACAAACCTTTGTATTTAATTGTCGAAAATCCTATTCCTAATTACATGGCCCATTGGAGTGTTGATTATATTATTGCCGATGGTAAATGGAATGTTAATAGAATTAAGCACATTATTCCCGACCATGTTTGTAGTCTTATTGAATGTATTCCTTTGCCTAATGTAGCCTCGGTTGAGGATACCCTTTGTTGGGGTGTCGAGACTAATGGGCAATTTAACATTCGAAGTGCTTACAAACTTGCTTCTAATATTTCGCCTCATCCTTCGTTCCCCCCTATCAATTGGAAAAAGATTTGGCATTTCCCTATCCCTTATAAGTATAAAATGCTAGTTTGGAATGTGTGTCACCAAATTCTTCCCACTGCTACTGTTTTAGCGAAAAGAATTGAGCACTTTGACCCGATTTGTACTAGATGCAAGCTAGGAGAAGAAAATCATATTCATTTATTTAGGGATTGTATTAATACTAGGAATTTGTGGTCTAGGATTTTTACTCTTAATAAAATGGATAAAAACTTCAATTACCAAATTTTTTTCAATATTAATTGGGAAGGTTGGTTGAATTACAATTTGAATATGAGCATTGCTTGGAGAGTGACCTTTGCGGTGGCTTTGTGGCATATATGGAAAGCTAGGAACTATGCTGTTTTCCAGCTTGCCATATATCACCCTTTATCATTGTTTAACAAATATAAGTTGGACTTGGATATTATCTTCAATGTTTTTCAGGGAAAGGGGAGAATCCCTGCTATGCTGGTTCGCGAGTCAAGGTGGCAAAGGCCTCAAGAGGGCACAATTAAGATAAACACTGACGGAGCTTGGGAATGGAGAAACAAAAACAAGTCAGGTGCTGGGGCTGTAGCTCGTACCTTCGATGGGGTCTGGTTCTTGGGGAAATCTTGGCATATTACTGCTGGAAGTGCTGCTCAAGCCGAGTTTCTTGCTATTCTTGGTGGGATGCAGATGGCGGTGGATGCGGGTCTCAAAGATGTTATCATCAAAACAGACGCTCTATCTCTCAAGCCTACCATTGAAGATGTTGAGAGGAATGGTAAGCATGAATGCGTGGCTATTCTAAGAGATATGCAAGTGTTGCTGAATAGGGGATGTAAATTCTCTTTCAACTACGTACCAAGGCAAGCTAACAGGGTGGCGCACTACCTTGCAAATCTGGCTAAGGAGGTTACTGGAGGAGCGAAATTCTTTGAGGACTCCCCTGAATGTGCCAGAGACGCCTTTGAGGATGATCTCACTCGTAGTATTTGACGGAGTTGCTCTCCTTGCTGTGAGCATTGCTACTGTCTTTCACTCTGATTTTGACATGCCTTTGGGATGCTGCTCTAGCATTAGTCTTTTTATTCCTGCTATGACATGTAATGGTAGCCTAAGTATTATCTTGCAAACTTATGTTCCTTTTTATGCTTTGTCTTGGATTGCTGATGGAGCTAGCAGATTAGTGGATCTAATCTGGAATTTTGGCTCCTTGGTTGTATTTGACTATTATTAATTAATTGATTTCCATGGTTTTTTAAAAAAAAGTGCTACACATTGACTTCCCTAACTTCTTGTATTTTTTTATTTTTACCTATACCTTCTTGGGTATTAATTGCAATATTATGCAAGTATTGTTTATAAAGTTTAAGAAAATTTATAGGGTGGGACTTATAAGAGGATTTTTTTATAAAACAAAGTATGAGAGAAAAATAAGAATAATAATAATTAAAAAAGTAGTTTTAAGTGGAGTTGGTAAAAAAAATAATAAAATATTTATAAAAGTGGAATTAGTGGGAGAGAGAAATTATAAAATAACGGTGGGTCTTTTCCAATTATAAGGAATACAAGTATTGCAATTAATATGAAACGGATAAAAAAAGTGTTATGATTAATACGAAACAAAGAGCGTTTAAGACATGTGGGTAGGACACATAATAAGTACATGAAAAAAGATTAGTTTATGAAAGTGATTTTTTTAATCCCTCAAATGAGTCCCATAAAACTTGATTCCTAAACTTTGGGGATACAACATGTAAACAATGTCACTACTCCATGACCTCAATCTCATTGTATGAAAGTGAATGGGGACACAAATATAAGGAAGAAAAATGAAGGTATTTTTGCAAAAATATCAAGAGTATTGTATATATTTCAAAGGAGAGAAAAATAAATCCCTTTCGAACTTGATGTGGTAAGCCAAGTATTATACTTTAGTCAGCTATTTACAAACTCATAGTCAAAAGTAAAGTTTGTACAAAATTTCATAAGTCAAAATCTGTTAACTAATTTAGATTGGAGGAAGTACTCTAATTCTCATAATCTATGCACCTAATTTTTATTTATAATACTCTCTACGTTTTTAAATACTTGCTACATTTCTCTTAGACACGCATGTCGGTGCTAATATTTGATTACTAATATTTTTAATTACCAATAAGTATAAATTCTAACAATTGAAAACTAATAATCTATTCATTGAGATGATTCCAACAAGTACCCACAAGACTATATTTTTTTCTTATGTATAAATCACAAATATTAATCAAGGATAAATGAATAGTGCAAAAAATAGAAATGGAGCAAGTATTTAAAAAGGATGGAGTATGATTGAAGAGTTTTTTTTTTTTTTTTTATTAAAAAAAAAAGACATTCAACCATAGTACTCTTGATTTTCATGCACTCCTTTTTTTTTTTTTTTTTTTTTTTAATAAACCTCCAATCAACTTCTCCTTCCACTACTTTTATTATTTTTGTCTAATAACACACATACAATCTATTTTACTTAATATTAATAAATAGAGTTAAGACAACATTTAGGTACTCAATTCTTCATTTTTTCACCCTTTAGGTACTCAATTTTTTTTTCACCTTTTAGGTATTCAAACTAATTCTCAGGCTAATTAACCCACCACTGACCATACATAATAAAAAAAAATTAAAAAAAAAACCATTTATTAATTTGACTGTTGCAAAAGTAAAAAACTAGTCGTTATTAGGCTATTAAAAGCGTTTTAAAGAAACCAAAAAAAATGGCATGAATACACCAGCCAAACTAAGAGCAAAACAGTAACTTCAACTAGTTCTCTTAAGCTAAAATCATCATCATCTACAAATTTTCCAAAATAATAATAATAAAAAAAAATCTTAACCCACATAGACC